ACCCCCGCCCTCCCAGACCACCTCGCCGGGCTGGCCAAACCCCCAACCCCCGTGAGTGCCGGGCCGCCGAACCCCCCCCACGCGCCGCACCACCGAAACACCCCCCATGCTGCTCGGCCGAAACAAACAAACCAAAAAAAAAACCTTCGCGCGCCGCCCTGCCGAAAAAAACCAAAAACAAAAACACGGAGCGTGCCCCCCGCCACCCCAACATTGGCTGCCCCTTCTAAGGTGCCGCCCCAAGCACGTGCTTGGTCGGCTGGTGCCTGGAGCCGGCCCTGGCTGTAGCCCACAAAAGCTTATGCTCAAATAAATTTGTTAGTCTCTAAGGTGCCACAAGTACTCCTGCTCTTTTTGAGTATCATGACTGGAGCTTAGGCAGGAGTCCAAGGATAATCCCACTTACTAATGTGAAAAGTGCCATCGGGTATTTAACAACCACAAGGGGAAGAGTAAAGAATTACTCCACACCTCTGACATCCTAAGGGTTTTCGAAGAAGGGTCATCTCTAGGGCTCTGCTTTCAGAAGCTGGCTTGCAGCCTCTCTCCTCCAAGTATGATCATTCTTCATGTGGACATCTTGGGACACATAGCCATGCTTACCACAATCGGCTGACATCTTCAGAATTCGCTACCTTCTGTGAGACCAACAAAGGGTGACAGACCTTCCTGGATCCATGCAAATGGTAAGTGTGGAGCATATCTGATAGCATACCAGGACTGAGAGGGAAGGTTCTAAGGGTCAGGTTCTCAGCTGGTGTAAACTGGCATTCCTCCAAAGTCCAGAGGATGATCTGATCTTATCTCCTTCATCAAGATTCAACTCTACAGTTGTCAGGCCTTGGCAAGGTGTTTGCAGGCAACAACCACTGGGCATTTTAATTTTATTTGTACTTAGTTTTGCACAAATGATGAATAAAATCAGTGGAGGAGAGAGAGATGGTTACATAGCACAAAGTGGACTCTGAGAGCAGGGAGAGTAAATCAACCTGCTTTAAATTGTTAATGTAAATGTTCTAGGGGCTGCACTATATCCTTCTGCTATTTGGTATTTAAGGGAAGAATGAGCTTGTGCTGGGGTTTATATGGACTGGGCTTCACGTGGATCTGATCAAGGCCGGCTCCAGGCACCAGCTAAAGAAGCAGGTGTTTGGGGCGGCCAATACCAAGGGGCGGCACTCCGGCCGCTATTGGGGCGGCACGTCCGAGTCTTCGGCGGCAATTCGGCAGCGGGTCCCTCAGTCCCCCTCGGAGCAAAGGCTCTGCAGCAAAATTGCCGCCGAAGAGTGGAGCGGTGCGATCGCGCTGCCGCAGCATTTTTTTTTTTGGCCGCTTGGGGCGGCAAAAAACCTGGAGCCGGCCCTGGCTCTGGTAGTGGGAGTTGTTGCTCTGTTTTGCTTTTGGATTTCCACACAGAAATCCAAGTAACGCAGCTGGGAGGTATGTCACCTGTGTCCTCTCTAAAGCTAGGGCAGTGTAGCTACAAGGGGACCCAGCTAATGGTAGTGTGATTCCCGCTGTACTCCTGTTGCTAGTGTGGAGTGGGGGAAGGGGAGAGGAGGAGCAAGAAGAGCTATTCTTGTAGCAGGGCTGCTGTCTTCCCTTGGAATTGGGGGTCGGGGTTCCTTTCGCTCTGAATCACCAAGGTCTGTGAGGGTTGGTAGGCGGCGTGCCCTCCACAATCCAGAGCTCCCGGACTCCTTCCGCTAGAGGGGTGGTGCAAGGAAAGCTCTGCAAGAGGGACCTCGGAGAGATTGCCGCACCGGGGCCCGCTCCTGTGTATTTTGTGGGATGGGCGAGGAAGAAAGAGATTGCCCTTGTTCCTTACTCAGGGAATGCTCCCACTGATGAAACTGAGGGAGGGTTTCAGGGTGTGGCCCACTGCGAAAGCCAGTGGAAGGCCACATTACCCGGGAGAGGAAACAAAGAATTCTGAGCCTCACATGTAACAGTCACTTGACAGAAAAGGGTGATGGCATGACGGCCAGGGGCTGTGCTGGGTGGAGATACTGGGCAGAGTTGCCAGGCACAGGTATCTTGAACCACAGAAAGGGTCTGAAATGAGGCAGTCAGTGAGAGGTCAAGTTTATACGTGTTTAGCTGCCCAACACCTTTTGCAACTGGGTTGGGTGGTACCGGGAAGGGGCAGGTGGGAGTTCTACCTCCAGATCCCTCTGCCCATTGAAGTCAATGGGAGTCTTTCTATTGGGTGTTGGGTCAGGCCTTCAGAGCCCAAATGCCATGCAGGTGGAGGGGATTTCACTCTAACAGGAAAGGCTAAATATAAGAAGGAATGTGGACGGGGCTGTGAAGTGTGGCAAGGGGGCAGAATAGGGTAAAACAGCGATTACTGCCAGCTTCGAACAATGGAGACAAACACAGAGGTGCTGAAAGCCTTTCCATGGAGCCTTGAATGCGACACTTCGCTTTTCACTTTCAAGCAGCGACTTGAGATCCTCGAGGACAAAAACCCAATGATCTGGTTTTATTGAGAAAACCTTCACCATTATTTCAATCAGAAAAACTGAAAATCAAGATAAGTGAAGTGGAAATTTGGTGGGCATATTTTGAAATGGAAATGAGGTGGTTATATATTCATATTCTCTGTGTTCATAGGCATGTTTGCATTAATTACAGGAAATGAATACTAATTTATGATTGCCCCTGCTTGCCATCAGACTGCATTTATTTACAGATGAGGTCAATGAAAAATTAGTTTAGTCTTTTTTTTAACTGCTGTTTAGAACACTCAAGACTGTGTTTTCCTCTAGATTTGTCATGGTTAATGAATGTTGCTTCAGCAGTCAATCATGCACTCTAAATGCTGTCACACTTTTTTTTAAAGCCTCAGTCATGAACCATGACAGAAAAATAAACAAATAAATATAAAGCAAAAAAAAAACCCCTCTTTTCACTGAGCAGCTACACTATGCAAAAATCTCATGGGAAGGTTAAAGGAGGCCAGAATAAATGATAATATAAGTGCTGTGGACATAGAAAAGCAATAAAGGTGTGTACCAACACTGAGGGTCTGGCAAAAAATCCCAACACACACACCCATACACATGCACACACATACACTCTCCAGTGAAAAAAATTGGCAATGCGAGTCGCCTCAAGGTGCAATTTCCTGGAGCACTGAGATTGACATGCCAGTCCTAAATGTTGTTAATTTAACTAACTTCAAATTAATGACACAGTCTGCAGTGACTGAACCCTTCAAACACAGTCTCATTATAGCCTTGCTGGGAATGTCCTAAATATAGGCATTGACACTTTAAAACAAATTCGTATATATTTGTGTATTTTTAGCCAAAAGTAAGGCGTCAGAGTTTGTGTCATGGTTTAAGGTTGATTAATTGACTTGGTAAATTCCTCTCCCCTCCCTCCCCCCCCCCGCACTCCCCAAATTATGCAGAAAAAGTCCCATGAAGGAAGACAAAGGATAGTTTTATAACCACAATAAGTGCTATTAGTGTTCCCGTGCAGTGAGGAGGTATAATCTGACCTGAGTTTTCATTGGGGCAGTTACTATATATTTACCGATGCCATCCTGCCAGTTCATTGCTACTGTCATTCTCTCATTGAGCCAAAGCCCATCAAAGTGAATGGAAAGACTCCCATTGACTCCATTGGACTTTAGATGAGGCCCTAAAATTGCGGTAATCTGATTTTAATGGGACTTTTAGCTCAAGAGAAGAGTGGGAATTAATGTCTGAGGTATTGGAAGTGGCTCAACTATATATTCAGTGATATACCTCCACACTCCTTGCTACCTCGTTGGGACACGATGGCATAGACCAGAATAATCGTCCCATCACTCCATAGACATAAGAGTCTATTATCCTGTTTCATATACTCAATGCCATTAGGGACCTGTGATCTCTGTATTACTGACTCAGTCCCTATCTACTTATTTTCTAAAGATTTCCCTCTATTGCTAACATCAGTTCAGCTCCACCGGTGTTAATAATGTTAAACAGCCCTGGCTTGGGTGGGAGTGCCAGCTGAGGCAATCATTGTTATTTAGCTTTGGTAACCCTGCCAGCAGCTGGTAGCCCATCTTACACATTCATAAGGCTGGGTTTACACTGAGGTCCTTTTATACTGGCTGAATGGCATAAATAGACCATGCTCTAAATAGGAATTAGGAGCCAGATTTTTAAAGGTATTTAGCTGCCTAAAATGCAGGTAGGCGCCCAGTGGAAGCACTAAGCACTTTTGAAAATCCCACTGGCAACTATCTACATCAATAGGTTCCTAAATAGCTATAAAAATCTGGCCCTAAATCTATAGATTTTAAGGCCAGACCCACTGATCTGGTCTGACCTCCTGCATAATCCAGACCAGGTAACTGAGCAGGAGTGAGTCCAGTAATTTATAGTTACGGCTTCTGTTTCTCGGTGTATCAGTTTCATTGTTTGCAGTTCATTTTTTAGCAATTTGCTTTCTGTGATGATATGCAAAAATCAGGGGTTTTTACTTTTTATATACTGTAATGAGAAGATTTTTGGGGTGTACATTCCAAAATTCTTGTTTAAATAGGATCAACTTTAATTTTTATTACATGTATAAAAATTACGTACATGTTAGTTTAAGCTTTGTATATTTGTTATGGATCCCTGGTTTAGTGCATTTCATATACCTCTCCCTGGCACTAGGCTGACATTTTTTATAATATGTATTTACCATAAATAGAAGCTGATATTTAATAAAAAAAAATAAAATACAAATACGCTTACCATTATCTAGAGCGATTGTATCCTTTCCCATCATATTAATATCCCAATGTAGTCAAAAAGTACAATGTTTATGACGTCAAGAATAGTAATTTCCATCTTCAAGCAAAATGGATTATTAAAAATTTTCA